AAGCTGAGCTATGCGAAATGAACAATGGGAACGAGAGTGATCCTATGAAGGGGAAGGTATTTTTGTTTATCGATATTGTTTCTCATTCAGCGCTGTCATGATAAGCTTACAAGAAGAAATATTTATTTACAGCTAAAATAAAGATATAGTAAGATAATTACTGGCCGTGGTCGCTAGGTGCTCGCGTTGCTAGCACTCAGTCCAGCGTCTGAGACTGTACTTAGCATGCATATTTTTTGGAGTTGCTTTCCTTAGCGGCGAAATACAGGATATTCTGAAAGCCATTCTAAAGTAGATTTTACATTTTTGATCTAAACTTGCAAAAAGTGTGCACACTAAACTTTCTTCTTCACGTTACACAAAGAAAATGAAAAGTTTCATCCATTTTTTAAAGCTTGTGTTGCTGAAAAGTTTCTGGAAAACTTCACGTAGCTCTACAAACAAATGTAGGCATAGTTGATGAATGAAATTTTACAAATTTGTTCTAGATAAAACAAGTCATTTTTCATTACGAAGAAGAGTAATAAGCATATCTATTTTATACATAACGAGGAAACTATGTAAACTTAAAAGATTACTGTTGTTCGTGTTTGTTTTCATCTATATCTTTGTTGGATTCACAAAAGTCAACTCCGACGAAACGTTGACGCTTGTGCATGTTAGGTATTTTCGTTGTTTCTGTAAAAGATGTGTATTATTATTATTTTGCCTACCATTTAGAAAGATTTATTAAAGGCTTTGAATTATATCAATTTTTGTTAATCATGTAAAAGTTGATCGAAAGCTTTAAAAGTCATACTGGGTGTGTATGATGTAGTGATTCGTGCGCCGGTCTGTGAATTTAAGGATCCAAAGTTCGTATCCTGTTGCCTCAAAATCGCGCTCCGCACTTTGGCCCGTAGGTTCGTTACAAGAATGGCGGACAACTTTCACTATTAAGTTAGAGTAGCCCAAAAATTCTGGGTAGGTGGTGTTGACTAGCTGTTTTCCCTTTAGTCCATCAGTACAAAATAATAGACAGTGAACGAAGATATCCCATGTAGTTTTGCGCGAAGATCCGAAGTAAATGATCATAACGATTACCCTTTTTTCTTTCATTTTGTAACTATGTTGGGGGAAAACTCGTCAAAAACGGTGTTGTTTATTCAGTACCCCCATCTGTGTTTATGAAGATTCATCCAATTGTAATCCTTTTTTTTACAAGTACACGTGGGAAGATTCATGGAAAATTACAATTTGTCAAGTCAACTGATTTTCAAAGCAAGTTTTTAGTTAAAATAGCGACCACTTTTTATTCACTTTAAATTGCTTTTAATACTTTCTATAGAACGAAATGAATTAATTTCACATAATGTTAATTGTTAAATAGTCCTTTACTTCCGTTGCTGTATTAAAAAAGGTTTATTACTCAATATAATAATTAAATATATGTGCTTTGTTTTTCGAGGTTTGTTTAGAATTTCCCGCAAAGCTACACGATGGCTATCTGCGCTAGCCGTCTCTAATTAAAGACTAGAGGGAAGGCAGCTAGTCAACACCATTACATTATAACGTTCCCACTGCTGATAGGGTGAGCATGTTTGGTGTGACGGGGATTCGAACCCTCGCCCATCAGATTGAGTCGAGCTCTCTAACCACCTGACCATTACCAGACTTTTCGAGAAGGAAGGAAATTTGTTCCAATTTATCGTTTGGTGTGTGGAAAGTTTCAGAAAAATGTAAACATAAAAGTATGACAAAATTATTACAGTCTAATATAAGCTGTACTTATAAAACCTGAAATTCAGGTTTATGGCACAGTAATAGTGTTGCAACGTGAGCAATACCAAGCTGAGTTATTTTGCTGTGTTTATGATGTATCACCCACTGTTTAAGTTAAAACATTAATTTTTTTTTTTTTTTTTTTTTGCTCAGGCGTTTTTTGGATGGATAAATATTACCTAGAAGATAA